TTCCCTACAAAGTTCAAGCATATTCTTACAGTTTGGAAAAATCAGCTTATTTGTAGCTCGCAGAAATGATTTCAGGTACCTTTCTGGGCAAATGTTTAGTCTTAAAAATTGCAAAACTTAAAAGACAGCAAAAACTATTTTCTGTCTTTAGGGATTGTATCCTAAGATCATACAGACCCAAATCCCTTTCCAAAAGTATTTACATGATAAAGAGTTATGGCATCATTGTCTTTTTACCCAATAAATGAAATTTTGTAAACAGAAACCAAGACTCTTATTCAAATATGATGAGATCGGGGACAGCTCTAAGCCTGGTGACTGCCTGGTGTTTCTAGAATTGGACATGGGAGCAGAGGCACAGGGGTTGGGAGCGGAAGTGTTTTGCCTGGGTCCAGGCAATAACCAATAATGGGGAGTAGTGTCTATAGACAATCATATTTCTAAATATGTCTAAAAAAATAGAACTAACTTATAGTCAGTCAACTTCTATTGTCAGCAAGTTCTGGTGATTCTAAACCACATCAGTAATAAAATACTCCTCCCCACTGGGGCAAACCACTCCCATCCCTCCCCACCCCAATCCCCTGGTATGGCGCCTGCTTTGTGCAAGATTTGACTTAATTCACCAGTGGCAAAACAATCTACGTTAGAACACAGTGGCTACACACTTCCACAAAGCCACAGATTAACATACGGTCTACTTTCTTGAATCCCACTCTCTTGGGAATGCATGGCTTCTGGTTTTTTAAAAATATATTCCCCTTAATGTAATCTTCATCTCTCAAGTCAATAAACCCTTTGTTGTTGTTTTTAATTTAGGGATGAGGTTATAGAATTTTATCACCTCTGCATATTATTCCTGAATCTTTTGACTGCAGTAAACAAACTCCTAAGTCACAGTACTTTAAGCCCCGAAGGTGATTTTATGATGATGATACTGGGGTATCTCATAGAACCCAGGGCATGAAATACAGGATCTTATAAATACAGGATTATAAAGAGTATCACCAGGATGCTCTTTATAATCTTTGTTTTTCTTGGTGTATCTACTTCAGTTGGTGCTATTTTTCTTTCTATAGTTGGGTTGTTCTCAATTCCATTATAGTAATATCACTTGGGAGTTTAAAAAAAAACCCCACTCATCCCTAAATGTTAACAAATAGTGCAATCTAGGTGAAGGGTATGTAGGGTTCACTGTACTATTCTTTCAACTTTTCAGTAGTAATGAAATTATTCAAAATTAAAAGTTTGGGAAAAATATTAGGGTCTGAGACTTACTGCCAGAAATTCTGATTCAGTGGCTCTGGACATTGACAACCAGACGTTGGTAATTTAAAAAAAAAAAAAGCTCCTCTGCTAATCCTAATGTGTAAAGTTGGAAATTACTGCTGTGAGCTGCTGTCTTTTTCAGCTTCTCTAGAAGAGAGTGAGTCCCATTTCTTTCCTGAAAATTCCTGGGATGACGACTGGTCAACCCAGCTTGGGTCAGCTGCCTTCCCCTAACCCAGTCAGCTCTGGACAGGCCCATCGTTCAGCATCGCTGCATGCATGGTAAACCCGGAAGATGTAGGCAGTTTCCAGAAAAGCGTGGGCAGGGTAAGGGGTCAGCTAGGCAAAATGATTAATGATAGTAATAGTAATAGTCGTAGTAGTAATAGGTGACCAGTGTATTCCTCCAATAGAAATGCAAACTGAGTCCTTAACCGCTACATTTGAGAATATCTGACTGTTGATAAGCCAAAGCCATTACTTCCTATTTTAGCTACTTTTCAAATTATGTCATTGTTTTCAAAGAATGGAATGATGGAGACTTATTCTTTGTTAGTTTGAAGGTTTTGTATAGCAAAATGCAAATTAAATATATTTGATAACAAAGCCCAAAACTTTGTCCATATTGAAGAAGCCCTTACAAGTTGCTACGCATTAAATCATGTATAGGAATAAATACCATTCATGACGGTCATGTCTAGGCATAATGCTCCGGTTGTAGCAGGTATACGTTTTCCACCATCATAAACATCCGGTCTTTAAAATTTCACATTTCCATAAAGAAATTCTCTAAATCAGCCAGTAGGCTCTGAGTCATACCTCCGTGCACAATTGTCTTGTAGGAAATTCTATCTCAGTCTTCTGTTTGAAGGGACTGCTTCTTGCCAAGGATCTGGCAAGAATTCTTAGTCTTACGCAGTCACAAATTGTCTTATAGCTGGAAGAGAGTGGCACCATCACTGCTGTGCCAGCTCGGGCATGGTCATCTATTGTGATGGTCCCTCATGCTGTGGACCTCCTATTTCAGCCTTCCTTGCACCCTGAGTCACCCACAGGAGGTCCTGTCCCCTCTACGGGCATTGGGTCACCGATGACAAGGCAGTCTGTACTCCGGCGGTGGGGGGGTGGGGGGATGGTATTGGTGAGGGGAAGCAGGGATGCGTGACGCTGATGCAAAACAGCTGAATGATGACATGTTCCAGCTGGTTCCAAGAAGAGAGCTGGGCTTCCTCGAGCAAGAACTGGACTTTAAGAGAGAGGAAGACTCTGTGATTTCTGAAGGAACCAGAGCAGGAAGAGAGAGGAGGAAGAACACGTGGAGAAGACGGGGCAGTTTCCCATGTCCCTGTGAAGTTGCAGCCATGAGGCATGATCGGGACAGTCTTTGGCCCTTGAGAAAAGAGTCAGTGTGATCTCTGTGGACCTGGCTACCGGAGAAGAGAGTGGGACACAGATGTTTCAGTGTGAGCCAAGCGGGGCTGAGCACAGACGTCCAAAGACGTGGTTGTGCATCTCTGGCGTGGCTGGTGTCACATCCTTGCATGCCTCTCTCCTGATGCCAGGATATCATCCCTGAGGCGGAAGGAAGAAAAGAAGGAGCAAGTGACGAATTGATTGAAAGAGACCTAGCTTAGGGGCTTCCCTGGTGGCGCAGTGGTTGAGAGTCCGCCTGCCAATGCAGGGGACACGGGTTCGTGCCCCGGTCCGGGAGCATCTCGCGAGCCATGGCCGCTGAGCCTGCGCGTCCGGAGCCTGTGCTCCACAACGGAAGAGGCCACAACAGTGAGAGGCCCGCGTACCGCAAAAAAAAAAAAAAAAACCACTGGTCTGGGTTCTAGGCAAATTTGTCCTAACCTCTTGCAATCCTTCCTTCACTCTGTCCACTAGCTGTAGCCATTGCAAGTCAGTGTTTTTAGCCCTACTCAGAGGAAGTAGGCTATCATCTCTCTTCTCTCCTACTTTGTAGGTCTCTGGCTTCTAGGTCACCATCTCCTACAGTCCAGATATAACTCTTTCTCCTTGGGGTGCCTGCCTGGGAAGTGCCAGTCCCAGCTCCCCAAAACTAGGATAATAAACGTACTGGTCTACGTTCATTTTCTATCAGGTGTGATGAATGAATCTATGCTCACGTGGAAATAATTCCTTCAGTGAGTTAATATATTTCCAATCCACAGCACAGACCTGAAACACAAGGATACTTTAGACCCAGGGGCATTCAGGAGAGGGATCCAGGCTCTGCCAGGGAAGAGGAGGATCTCTCACACCAGCCTGTTCCCATGTGGTCGGTGGTTCTAAAATAAAAACGGAGAAGAATGAAGTAAAAGCGTGAAATAAACTGTTGTAGTAGAGAGAGAAGACCAGACAGGGAGATGGAGACACCCACGCTGGGACCTCCACCTTCACAGTGAGACAGAGAGGTGCAGAGAGAGGCTGAGGGTTACAGAGAGAGACCCAGAGAAATACAGAAAGAAACAGAGAGAGCAACACACACAGAGACACATAGAGTGACAGAGACAGAGAGCTGCAGAGAAAGCCTTCCTCCCCGACCCCAGTACATCCAGCTCCAGCAGCCTCTGTGGCTGAGACCTTCTGCAGTGACCCTTGTACAAAAAAAGGGGCTTGTACAAAGAAGAGATCTTTTTCCAAGAGGAAAGGACGTGGTCCAGCTTGCAGAGAGACAAAGTTTGTAACTCAGCATGTGCGGACGAGAGAACAAAGCTGTTCCCTGGATTCCAGAGTGACTTAAAGGGAAGAGACTCACCATTTGCCAAGGGGGTTCTACCCAAAGGGGCTTATGGTTCAAGAAGGAGTGAATCCACGATGCAGTTGTCATGAGGCTTTTGGATCTCACTGCTTGTACGTTAAAGCTGTGATTGTCTGACCAGGTCATACATTTCAGGAGCGCATATTTCAGGAGAAATATGCAGATTCCCGTCTTCTTGCCTCTGGGGAGTATGAAGGAAGCTTCCCTCTCAGTGGTGCTGATGGAGGAGGGCATGAAGTGCGGAGAGGATGGAAGCCCCCAGTCTAAGCTGCTGTGTGCTGCTAATGTTTCTCCCCTACCCACTGTCAACATATATATATATATATATATATATATATATATGCCATGCTGGGTTTCCACAGGGGGACAGCAGAGCCTTGGTCTTGTCAGGGTCTCTAGCTCCATGCTGTTGGAATCACGTTTATCCCCAGGAAGAGAGCTCTGGCTCAGCTTGGCAGTGGTGGCCTGGGATGTCAGCTGGCTGGATTCTGTGGGTTGCTGAGGGAAGGCCCTCATGAATAGTCACCAACAGTTGGGCCGACTCTAAGTAGGTCATTGCTGGTTCTTCTGACAAAAGGAATCCAAGAGCCAGTATGTTAAACTCCCCCAAATTTAAATTGATTGCATGGTCAGCCTGGCTTGGGCTTAGATGCAACTTCTTTGGCTGTGAGTCAAGCAAAAAGCACAGAGCTTTTGAGCCAGAAATGTGTTTATTTTAAGTTAAGGAGACTGGAGCCTGGAGTGATGGGTAACAGCTAATCAAGGCTTGAGCCAGAGGTAGAAACCCAAGTCTGCTGGCTTCCAGTCCTGGACTTTCACCTCAAGACCAAGGAGCCACCAAGGGCCTCTCTGCCCTACTCTGACTATGTAAGATTAACCCCTACCAACAATATGGTGTTTTGAAACCTGTGATGCGGAAGGAGAAATATTATATTTCCAGTAGAGAGCTACTCATTTCCTTAACATTGTATGTGATCAAACCAGGAGCCACCTGATAGGAAAGCAGTATTATAGGTAAAAACTCTTCTAGAAAAAAACCAGAAGAAGCTCCTTTATAAAGCCAGCGCACAGCCAGATGTAACAGAAGAAAATTAGTGGATAAAGGAAAAGGGGCAATGGGTAGCCCCTAATTATCCTACCAAGAACCCAGTATTAATGATGTAATATTACAAATGGGAAAGGGAGACTCACTTTGTGAATGCGTAGGGTCTCTCTCTCACTTGTTTAACTACAAAAAAGTTCCTCTAAGTAGGAAAGTTTGAGAAAGCAAAAGTATAATAATCAGCAGGTAGAAAAATATACAAACCGGGAGAATGAGTCATCTTAAGTGGCATTGCTCATCTTGGGACAACAATTGCACCCTTTTCAAATGAAGTCAGAGAGAAGTTTTAATTTGACATTTCCCAGTATCTCCATGGGGTCTCTTCAAGGGAAGAGAATGGGACGGGCACAGTCCTGTGCCCATATTTTTTTTTCAAAATCTTGCATTTTAATAGTTTCAAATGTATTTTCAGGGTAAAAACTACGATAACCACAGCAATCAGAACAGTTCAGTTCAGTTTTGCATATTGATTTATCCCAGTTTATGGAAAATTTCAAGAAGTTAGAACATTTTTTATACATGTTTTGGTACAGACTATTTTCAAGAAACTATCACACAGTGATGGCTGTGGGGAAGACTGTTCCTACTCTAGTGTTTCCCAAATTTTATTCTTGTAGAATGTAATTGTCCTGAGAAATCTTAGCAGAGTTTCCATTTTTAAAAGAGAGATCTGTAGCACAGCAGATATAGGAACTCTGGGCTAAACAAAGCCAAGTAGGTCTCCTTACGGCAGGACTTTTTAGAGCTTTTCCTGTGTTAATGAACCTTGGCACTCTTTATAAGAGTGGGGGGTATAAGGATATGGTATGCTGTACTACTCAAACTTGGATTGCCATAGAATCTACTTCCAATCTCCTTCTTAAATCGTCATCAATATCTCATGGGAAACTTGGGTTATACAAGTTGCAGTGTGGGAATGCTGCCCTGGCCATATACTAAAGCAGGTAACTCTGATCTGTGATTGGTTTTATTTTATTTTATTTATTTTATTTCATTTCATTTTATCTTATTTCAATTCATCTTATTTATTTTATTTCATTTCATTTTACCTTATATTATTTTGTTTTATTTTTAACATTCTTTTACTTTTCTCCCCCTCTGCAGGCCTACTAGTATTAGATTCTAATAAACAGTGCATTTGAAGAGAAATATGTCAAATAATTTCAAATCATTTGATCTTTAGATATTTCAGGTTTTAGAAATCAACTTTGTACAACACTGTGTAAATCCCCAGTATAATATCCACTTTTGTCCACTGCAGAGCTACTGCAAAGTGGCCAACCACATCCTCGACAAAGCAGTCATTCCAAACTGGGCTTTCACTCCTGAAAAAAATGCCAGCTCAGATTTGTTGCAGTCAGTGAATTGGTTTGGGAGGCGATTCCGCATCCAGAACAAACCGGAGCACATTGCAGATGAACTCTTCATTCAGAATAAAGGGCGTCACACCAACCACAATACCTCAGAGAGAAGTTTCAGTTTCTCCATGAACGTGAGCAATACAACAGAGGGTATTCTAGGAATGATAGACGTTCCCAGGCAAGAGCTGTGGAAGCTGCCACCACATGCATCCGAAGCCATCAGTATAGCTTTTCCCACCTTGGGGGCTGTTCTGAAAGAAGCCTACTTGCAAAATGCCAGTCTTCCCAGGCAGGTAAATGGGCTGGTGGTTTTGGTGATTTTACCAGAAAGATTAAAGCAAATCTTATTCACCTTTGAGAAGATCAATAAATCCCGGAATGCCAGGGCCCAGTGTGTTGGCTGGCACTCCAGGAAAAGGAGGTGGGATGAGAATGTCTGTGAAACAACATTGGATACAGCCAGCAAAGTGAAATGCTGGTGTAACTACACCAACGTGGTGATGTCTTTTTCCATTCTCATGTCCCCCATACCTGTAGACAACAAGGTCCTGGACTATATCAGCTGCATTGGGCTCAGTGTCTCCATCCTTAGCTTGATTCTTTGCCTGATCATTGAAGCCACAGTTTGGTCCCGAGTGGTCGTGATGGAGATATCATACATGCAACATGTATGCATTGTGAACATAGCTGTGTCTCTCCTGACCGCCAATGTGTGGTTCATCCTAGGCTCTAACTTTAACAAAAAGGCCCAGAACTACAACTGGTGTGTTGCGGTGACATTTTTCAGCCACTTTTTCTACCTCTCTCTGTTTTTCTGGATGCTCTTCAAAGCACTGTTCATCACCTATGGACTATTGGTCGTTTTCCGGAGGATGATGAAGTCCTGCATGATGCCATTGGCTTTGCCATTGGCTATGGGTGCCCGTTGGTCATTGCTGTCACCACAGTCGCTATCACAGTGCCAGGGAAAGGCTACATGAGACATGGTGCCTGTTGGCTTAACTGGGACAATACCAAAGCCCTTTTAGCATTTGCTATCCCAGCCTTGCTTATTGTGGCTGTGAATCTTGTTGTGGTTTTGGTTGTTGCTGTCAACACTCAGAGGCCCTCTATTGGCAGTTCCAGGTCTCAGGATGTGGCCATTATTATGAGGATCAGCAAAAAGGTCGCCATCCTCACCCCATTGCTGGGACTGACCTGGGGTTTTGGAATAGCTACCCTCATCGAAGGCACTTCCTTGGTATTTCATATAATCTTTGCCCTGCTCAATGCTTTCCAGGTAAGTTCCAGAAGAGAGACGTATTTTATTAATTAATATTTTATTTATAAAACATTATTATTATCTTATAATTTGTTATTCTGGTTTTACAATAAAACATGGCTATGGATTAAAAATATAGAACACGACATATTCTTCCCATTTCCTTCTGTATCTTAGAGACATTTATCTGTGGCATCTCTCACTCTATTGATTGTCCAGTTGGATTTAGATGATCAGGCTGGTTGGGTAGGAATCTCCTCTCTCTCCTCGCTGGTTTGCCTGTATCCCTCCTAAAGTTTCAACGTCAAAAGAAGTTGACCTTCACTTATGGAAGACCAGTCTTTGGTCAGGGATGTGTGAGGCTATACTTAATATGTTATGCCTCAAAACAAGCACAATTTTTACCCTTTCTCAAGTAGTTTGGGTGCTCCATAAAATAACAGTCATTTTTCACAGTATGAAGGGACGGCCCTTGCCACTCACTTTGGGTGTTAACCAGTCAGGGGTTCTCATACCTCTTCCCTACTGTTCTCTGTCAAATAAATGTAGGTTGTTATTCACAGAAATGGATCTTGACACATGTTACTTGATCCCAGGAATGTCACTTTCTCTGGTCCTCAGACTTCTCCTCTATAAGATAAGGATGGACCTAAAATGATCTCTATTTTCTTTTCTTGCTTAGACAAGATTATCCACCTAAAAGTTGTTTTATTTCATCTTGGCTACTAAGCCATTTTCAGGAAGCTGTCATTAGGCTGCTTTCCATATCCATGAGTAATAGAAAATTTGACAAATTCATATTTTTTAAATGTTTTAAATCAGGGGCTGGCAAACTATGGCCTGCTGCCTGTTTTTGTAAATAGTTTTACTGAAATACAGCATTACTCATTGGTTTACATTTTGCCTACGGCTGCTGTTGTGTCACAATGGCAAAGATGAGATAGTTGCTACAGAGGCTGTAGAGCTTGTAAAGCCTAAAATATTTATTATCTGCTTCTTTGCAGAAAAATATTTTCAAGAAAAGGTTTGACCACTGCTTTAAATAAAACAAATATAACTGTCTAAATAAAGGCACAAAGTATTCCATGTCACTGTTACTCTATTTCAAAACTCGATACAAAATAATAAAGCCAACTTTCAAGAAATGCCAACTCAGTTCAATTATATATCCTACTCATAATTCTTTAGTAACTATGGAGAATATTTATTTCACTTTTTCCTTTGCATTGCTTTAAAGAGAAGCCTTTTACTTAAGGATTTCTTGGGGCGGGGGGTAGGAAATCAAAAGCTCTTGGACTCACGTAAATCTCCCCAACTTTTGAAGTTACTCTGATTACTAATGATCCCATCCTATTTTTACTTTGCAACTTAATTAAACCCCAGGAAATTTTGTCCTGCATTTCTTTTTCAGATCATTTCTCTTTCTATTTTCTTGATGGAAAGAAAAATTCTAAACCCCCCTTTAGTTACACACACTCCATTTTTCTAAGCAAGCTTTTCCTGTGACTCACGTTTTAAAATTTCAGTCTTCTGATCAGTGTTTCTTCTTCATGAAACCATCCTTAGAAACCAGGCTTCCCTTCACTCTCATGGCAGGATCCAGATTTTTCTTGGACCTCAACTCCCACCACATAAAAGGGTTGACTGTCAATTATTGTGACTTTATAGGTGAGCAGAGATAATTTAAACTTGAATAGACCCTGGCCTTACAGGTCTCTGTAAACTTCTCTTTCTTTTATGCAGAAGTTTCTTCCACCACCTCAGAGGCTCTAGCTGCCTATTTCTTCCACTGAAAGTAGACTAGAATACATTTCTTTTTCTCAAGACACCTTCCCTGATTGTGACTTTGAATGACAAGAGTTTATGTCACATGTTACTGTCATCATGAGTAAGAACAGCTATCTTAATATTTGGGAAGAAAGCAGAGAGATTTAATAAGGCTGCAAACTCTATCCTACATCTGAAGCCATTCAATACATATCAATAACTCTGGTGCACAAGCATGAAGGTGGTCCTCTCTCTTTGTGATACACTCAAAGAAAATACTCATCAATGCATGTTTGTCGGAACCAGTGGGAACTGAAGTTTCTAATGTCTGATAAGTATCTTCGAAGGAATCTAGAAGAGTGGTATTAACAGCTGGGATACAGTCTGCACAACTGTCCCTCATACGTTGTTGAATTTTGCCACAGGGGTTCTTCATCTTGCTGTTTGGAACCGTTATTGATCACAAGGTAATTTGAGTTTGTTTCACTCGTTGTAAATGATCTCCATGTAGTTGACGGGAGCAGGTGGATGAAGCAACCTTGATCAGAGAGTACAGTCCGGAAGAGTTGAGTCTGTGGGGTAGTTCAAGGCATCAGCTTTGAGGGGGAGAGGAACGAACTATACTCTTTCGTGTCCTGTTTTTATCAAGTCAATTGGAGGCTACATTTGAACATAGCTGGTGCAAAGAATAGAAACCATGACCAGAATTTTAATCTTAATCCTAAATTCAGTTGTAACTAAACCTCAACTTTTATCCAAGTCTTATTATTTTCCAAGCACTGTGCTAAACCATTTGATGCCGCTTCTACCAGGGTTGATGGCCTCAGAGTTTCACGACACAGGTCTGGGCCCTGGGGATGCTGTCATTTCTTCACTGTCGTTGCTTCTTTAGATCAGAGATGCTTTGAGGTTGAGGATGTCTTCACTGAGGGGCGGTCAAAGGCAGCAGAGTTTAGCCTCTCCTTTTCAGTCTCAATATTGGAGAATCAATGTCCTCAGCAGAGTCATGATGAGACAAATATTATAGCTTAGTGTTCAGGATTTGTTAGCAAACAGAATCGTGACGGCATACTTTCCTTCATTCAACAAATTTGGACTGTCCTGCTAGAGATTAAGGTCAATGGAATACAGACCTCAAGAAAAGTTTCCAAGGAATTCCCTGGCAGTCCAGTGGTTAGGATTCAGTGCTTTCAGTCCCGAGTCCTGGGTTCGATCCCTGGTCAGGGAACTAAGATCCTGCAAGCCCCTCAGAGCAGGCAAAAAAAAAAAAAAAGAGAGAAAGAAAGAAAAGTTTCCATACCTGTTGTATTTCAACTAAGTACATTTAGACCATTGAGATGAGACAACATGAACGAACCCAGAACCTTAAATTCTAAAAAATGCTAAAGCTGGGAAATAAGACAAGAGTTAGAAATGGGATTTTAGTCCAACCTAGTTATTCCATAGGTAAGGAAAGTAAGGCCCAGAGTACTTGAGAGATTTGCCCAAAGCCACCCAACTAATTGTGAGAATTAGCATTCTCCTTGCTTTGGGCTTTTCCAGTGAGCCACACTGCCTTGAATTGAAGTGTTTGTGTATTTGTAGATCTTGAAGATGACTTTTGACCTAGCTATCTGTCTTTGCAAGCACCAACTGAAATTGCCATCATTGTTATATCAATTAGAAAGAAGTCACTTATTCAACCAAGAGTTTCTCAATAAGAGCTACTTTTAAAATAAATAAAAAGCTTTCTGGACACACTGAGAGTCAGAATTTATGGTCAGCTAGTACTGAGTGTGACTTTTAGTGCCACAGTTCATCAGTTCTAAGGTAGACATTTTTTATTCACCTCTGAACATTTCTGAAATTGAAATGTTTTGTACAGTCAGTGACAAGTCACGATTTAATTGGCAAGTTATTTTTTCCTTTTCTTCCTTAGTGGATGTAAAACTAATGATGTTGCTTACAATGTTAGATTCAGTGAGATATGATAATTTAATTCTGTTTAGCTGTGTCAACTTGGGTATTTCATGCTTTCATTTTTACATGTTTATCTCTAGTCAGGCACAGACATGAATATAAATCTATGTGCATTTTGGTCAATGCTATTCCTCGTTGACATCACTGTTATTTTTTCCCCATTTAGAATGCATCGTTAAGCCCAACGTATGGATCTAAATTAATGAATTGTTGAGGATAAGATATGAGTATTGGGCTTCCCTGGTGGCGCAGTGGTTGAGAGTCCACCTGCCGATGCAGGGGACACGGCTTCGTGCCCCGGTCCGGGAGGATCCCACATGCCGCGGAGCGGCTGGGCCCGTGAGCCATGGCTGCTGAGCCTGCACGTCCTGAGCCTGTGCTCCGCAGCGAGAGAGGCCACAACAGAGAGAGGCTGGCGTACCGCAAAAAAAAAAAAAAAAAAAAAAAAAGATGTATTAAAAACTCAAGGAGAAGCTTCACTTGTAAGCTGTGACTAACTTCTCAGTGCCCCCTGGTAGCACACTATTGCCTACTATGTGATGCTGGAGGGAGGTGGGAAGGAAACAGGGGGATATCTTTCAGAGAATGGAAACGCCTTTATTGCCCAGCACATAGACGAAAATACGCACATCTTTAAAACCTACGTCATCTCAGTTTACATGACCAAATCTTAAGAATACTTTTTTTTTCTGTCCTCAGTGAGAGGATGCTGTCATCATACCTGCTCTGATACAGGAGACATCTTGCTGTTTACACACACCTTAATTCCATCTTGCCAGTGAGTGTTGACACTTAGAAGAGCCCCATTGTTGAGAAGGAAGACAATTGATTGGAATCACAAAGCAACAAGTCCATCTCTCCCTAATGAAGTTGGAGCTCAGAATCATTCTTAAGGGGGTATGGGTGGAGTTGTGGTAAATTAGCGGCCTATTCACAGCCAGCCTCTGAGACACACTTCTCCACAGGTGCAATCAGGGGAAAACAAATATTAGGCAGCCGTGAAGGGGAGAATAAGTCACAAAGTGGCAGCCAGAAGCCTGAGAGGTCGCAGGGGCATGTGGGCAGGGCAATCAATGTTGGTATGCTTTTGTCTTGGAGAGCTTTGGTGGCCTTTCTGCACGGATATAGATGAGTCTCAGATTTTACGTTTAAACACCACCTGGCAACAGGCACATCCTCTTTTACATTCCTTTCGTTTCTGAGTCACGGCCCATATATTGAGCAATGGGGCAAAGCAAAGGGTTGAAACAATCTCATGGAATCAAAGACGCTCTGAGTTTCAAGAACCTTTAAGGGACCTCCTGGGTTACAGATTATACAAACCGATGTTGTGGTGCTGTGGACATTGGCTCATGGTCCCAGGAAGCGGGGTGCGGGGAGGGAGAGGGGGCTCTGTCATATACATTGACTAGCATGTATCAGGTGCTGTGAAAACAGAGAAGAAAACACTGGCATATTATTCTTAATTAATCACCTTCACGTTTGGATTTTTATATTAGAACATTAAAGCGGAGGAAATAGTAGAACTTTACAAAATTAACCCTCCCAATTTCTGCCCATTTCCTACTCCACAAGGATCTTCCGTGGGGGAGCATGACTGTAGCATTTCTTTTTTTTTTCTTCTTTTTTTTTTTTTTACGGTACGCGGGCCTCTCACTGCTGTGGCCTCTCCCGTTGCGGAGCACAGGCTCCGGAAGCACAGGCTCAGCGGCCACGGCTCACGGGCCCAGCCGCTCCGCGGCATGTGGGATCTTCCCGGACCGGGGCACGAACCCGCGTCCCCTGCATCGGCAGGCGGACTCTCAACCACTGCGCCACCAGGGAAGCCCACTATAGCATTTCTTGATTAGTCACTAAGGAGAGGTAGCTCAGATGATTTAGTAAAGCTGATCTTTCCATTAAGCTTCTCATTTGACCTGTTTTGGGAAGCTTATTAGACTAAGCCGGGTGGAGGAGGCCCTGCAACCTGGGGATACTGTCTAACCATTCTAGAGAAGAGAGGCGTGGCTGAAGTCTTCTCTCTAGCTAGCTGGGCATACCTGGTTGGCTGTACGAAAAGTTGGTGACAACCAGTAGAAGCCAAGATCGGGCATTACACCACTTACTAGAATCAGGCGGGTGCTCAAAGTTTGACCAGTATCAGGAGGAAGTGGAGGAAGGAGATGGAAACACACTAACAACTCTCCCGAAAGAAATCCTCACCACCTATTTCTTCAACTTTCAATTTCTACTTTTGAACCTGTGAAGTGGGGGACGGATGAGTATTGCATTCTTTAAGCATATCCTCCGCGGGTGGCCCTGGCCCTGGTGAATTTTCTCAGTAATTGGGGTCCTCCGCTTTTTACATCTGTACCCAGGAGGAATCAGAAGGTCTCAGAAGCAGCAGCTGGCACCATGTTGGGGGTGCAACAAACTCAGAGGACAAGACTGGAAATTCATGATCAGTGATCCTCCCAAGTCCAGAATGGAGAGCTGGCAGCACCGGGAAAGTCTTTCAGCAGAAAGCAGGGCTCCAACCACACGGTTGAGAGCAGAATTACAGCTCAAGGACACAAGTGTCTGGGAAGCACAAGGCCGGGTCACGGCCAGGCTAGGGGTCAACCACAGAACGCAGGCAGTATTTCAGACCTTAAACCAGAACACAAAATCTTAGACTGACGGGGTCTGGGGAGGCAGGCCGAATTCCTAGAGCCAGAAAGGGGGCAGGAGACCAGAATTGGACTTGCCCAGATTTGGGGCCCTGTGGTTGGAAACTCCACATGTTCCAGTGACCACAGGTCAGATTATTCTTAGGAACAAGGTCGGGACAGGTGTACAGGGAGGTCCCGGAACCATGGAAGGACAGCAGAGGTGTGAAAACGGGGCAGTTTTCTCCATGTATAGATCCTAACTGGGGGTTCCCATCCTGGGAAGCAGGAGAGGGCGGGGAACAGCGTTCTTAATACAAGGCCACGGCTGCACAGCGCCCTCTGCTGTTCATGTGAAGGGCGGACCTTTATATGACCCAGCAGACCTTGTGTTACCCAGTGTGATTTCAGGGTCACCGGTGGACGGCTTCTCCATTCCTCTGAAATCTCTTCCACTTATTTACTCATGCCTAAAATTCACTTAAAAGAACTCCTCATTCCACAATGAGAAATGGGACAGATAGAATAGATACCCGGAGAGAAGCAACACGGTTTTCCTAGTAAAGCTGCAAATTCAGAGCCGCTGAGTCATTCTAGAGACCAAGCTTAGAGGAGGGAGAGAGAGGGCATTGCAAGTTTAGGCTTGAGGGAGCAGCATGGAGAAGGCAAAGTGCACAGAAAAATTAAGCTGGGGGAATAGCCTTCATGCTGTGTGACCTTGAAGAAATTGCCAGTGCCTCTGTGCCTCCATTTCCTCATCTGTAAAATGGGGCTAATAATAGTACATACCTCCCAGGGTGGTCTCAGGATTCACTGAGCCAACACATTCAAAACTGATAGACTAGTGCCTGGTTCAAATTAAGTTATCGGTACATGCCAGCTATTATTCTGACTGTTAACCAGGGCTTCATCCATTTTGCCTATGCTGCCCCATTCCTCGTGGATATCCTGTGTCCTGGCCGGAGAGTTGAGCTCCTGGAGAAGGAGGCTGGAAGGCAGGCTGGAATGTGGAGGGACTGTCATGCTTCTTTGGAAGACTTTCTCTTCTTGCCAGGAGTGACACCTAAACTCTCAGTGTGAGAAGGTTTGCTGAGGAAAAATTGAAGAGAACATTTGGTGACTGGGCTTGAAGGAGGTAGATCTATGGACTCTTTGATCTACTCATGACCTGCAAAAGCCTGGCTTCTTGGTCAAAGTTGGCTAGAGTAAGACTCAGTCCCCTTTCACCCCCAAGGGCCTGCTCTGTGGCTCCTTGGCTTAGCCACCCATCTCTCTGCATGGGTCCCGGGCCCTTTGGGGGGCAAGGGGCTGGATCTAGGTTCAGGGGTAGGTTGGGGGGAGGCATGGGAGGTGGGGTGGCAGGGGACATACTGAATCTACTTTGGAGACAGTTAAGTCATGGTAGGTTTCCTAGGGAACAGAAGGAAACTAAGAGGAGTTTTTTGGGCCACGCTGCATGACCTGTGGGATCTTACTTTCCCAACTGGAGATCGAACCCGGGCCCTCAGCAGTGAAAGTGCGGAGTCCTAACCACTGGGCTGCCAGGGAAGTCCCAAGAAGACTTTTCAATGGGCTTGTTATTTTACTCTATTTTAGACCTTGAGTAAAATAATTTAGCTCCTAGGACCTTACTTTCCTCGCTTGTGAAACAGAAAAATATATATTCTTGTAGCTATTATTATTTGCGTATGCATGTATATGTGTGTGTCTGTTTAAACTACTGTATATGTAAAACAATTCCGGTTGTTATTTTAGAAATAAAAATGAAAATATTTTATTTTCTGACACCAGCATCCAGGCATGAACCTTAAGCAGAAATATCTTAGACCTGAGGAACTCAGCTTGAAGACAAATTTTCTCCTAGGAATTTTCTCCCTCCTGGTAATTCTCATCTTTGGACACAACTCAGTGACTCCATTGAGAAATCCATTTTTCACCTGCATTAGGTGGTCAGGTGATACTTTATCATTTTTTCCCACCTTCCCACATCCCATTCATTCCTTGAAGAGGTGTGGCTAAAAGTTTGCATTGCAAACAGAAGGGGTGGCTTTTACTTGGTATTTGGTTTCCCACCCCAGCTCTTCAAGAGGTAACATCTGCTTGGGAGTGAGGAATTGGTTTCTAAAGAGTTACAGGATTTTTGGGAAACAGTCAGTCAAGAAGTGGCATAACTAAAAGAGGCAACAGATAATGGAACTCATATCCTGCCCCGTTCCAATAACTTCCTCTTAAATCTTCTGCTAAGATTTAAGAGTCCTCAATATAGGATACGATGAGCCAGCAAAGAAAAGCTCTTAGCTGATAAAACAAATGAAGAATGTTGAAACTCATTCAACAGGAAACGATCAGGTGTATACAGAGGACATTTTAAGACGGTGGATAGAACCTTTGTTTAGACACATGAATGGATGGTGAAACTCAGGGAGTGAAGACATGAACATCTCAGGCTTTGGGCCTGGGGAATCTGGAGTAGGGGAAGCGTGGATTGAGGCTGTGATGCCCTTTATACATAAGCCATGTGGGCCAGGGAAAGAAGACAGGAGTTGGAGACAGATATGTGTTTCAGTTCTACCTTTCCACATCCTAATGGGTGACGAGGGGAAGCTATTTAGTCTCTAGGAGTCTGTTACTTTGCTCATCCATAAAATGGTCCTATGAAACATGTCTTATGGTATTGTGGAGAGCAAAGAAGAGGATGTCTATGAAAGGTCCTGCCCCCCGTGTCCAGCCCACGCTAGACATCTGAGAAATGTTAGTTTCCTTCCGCATCCCTCCATTGGTCTGGTGATGGGATGTGAGTGCATTGCTTTTCCTGTGGAGGTGCTTTTGACTCTGCAGCAAGCGGGGTGGTGGTGAGGATTGGAAAAATGGAATCAAGGACCTGGGGCTTTCACTAGACTGAAGAGGAAGTTAGAGGAGGGCCTTCCAATGTCCTTCTAGGGATTTAGCCTTGTCCCAAGATAGGAAAAGGGACAGGGTTTCAGAGCAAGGGATCTGCTTCAGGAATGAAAGTTAAAACTGGATCTGGAAACTGGTGCAAGAGAGCAAAGAACTCTATCTGGATAACAAGAATTTTCACAGTAATGAATTACGGAGAAGATAGATTCTGTTCTTGAACTATTTTAGTCACTTAATTCCACGATCCAACCTAAGCTTCATGGAGGATTAGTGGTCAGGGCCGTCTGTATGCTGAAAGTAATAAGATTGTACAAAGGGTTCGATGGGGAGAGACATTCCTATACTGATATTACTATTAAAAAGATACAGGCAGGACTTCCCTGGTGGCGCAGTGGTTGAGAGTCCGCCTGCCAATGAGGGGTACACGGGTTTGAGCCCTTGTCCGGGGAAGATCCCACATGCCGCGGAGCAACTAAGCCCGTGAGCCACAACTACTGAAGCCCGTGCGCCTAGAGCCCGTGCTCCGCAACAAGAGAAGCCACCGCGATGAGAAGCCCCCGCACCATAACGAAGAGTAGCCCCCGCTTGACACAACTAGAGAAAGCCCTCGTGCAGCAACGAAGGCCCGATGTAGCCAAAAATAAATAAATAAATTTAAAAAGATACAGGCAGGCTCTAAAAGCTGGAAAAGACAAGGAAACGAATTCTCCCTTAGAGCCTCCAGAAGGGATGTAGCCCTGCTGGTGCTTTGATTTGAATGTAGTGAGACCCACTTTGTACCTCTCTGACAGGCAGAACTGTAAGATAATATATTGTATTGTTTTAAGCCAGTGAATTTATGGTAATTTGTTACAGCACTGATAGGAAGCTAATAGAGTAGCTGTAGCTACATAATCATAAATAATTCACAAGCAAATTAGCTTAAAACTTGGCAAACCGACAGTGAAAATGATTGATCTGTATAAATTAAACACTTCAGTGCCACCTGGTGACTGAAATCTTACAGCGAATGACTTGAAATGACATAAACCTCTAGCTAGTCCCTAAAAAGAGAAGTATTATCCTCCAAACGTGGCATGAGGCTAATTGTGATCAAATGATCAAACAAAGGTTGAAATTGTTCATAGGGATTACCAAATAATACAGTGGAAAAAGAACTCCACGAATAAACATTCAGGAATACAGCATTTTATTACACGGACCTATGATAGAAAACAGGTAACCAGTAAGACCTGCCTAGGAATCATTAGCCAGGGGTGGTGCAACAGGTGGCTGGGGGAACCTTCACTCCATTCAAGCCTTACCCCATCAAATTTATCAGACCTCTACTCTCCTGATGTTAGCTATGGACAAGTAACCTTTCCCAACTTTATATTAAGTATAGTAGCATTGCTTTAACCAGATAGCACTGCTAGACCTCTACTACAGAGAAAATCTGAACCTGTCTGGACATACATGATCTAGTCAAAAGTGCAAGGTACCTCACACCCATTAGGATGGCCGCTATCAAAAGAAAACAGAATGTAACAAATGTTGCTGGGCATGTGGAGAAGCTGGAACCCTGTGCACTGTTGCTGGAATTGTAAAATGGTGCAATGACTATGGAAAACAGTATGGAGGTTCATCAAAAACTAAAAATAAAAGTTCCATATGAACAGCAATCCCTCTTCTGGGTATATATCCTAAAGAATTGAAAACAGGATCGCAAAGAGATATTCGCACACCCATGTTTACATAACAGCAGTATTCACAGTAGCCAAGAGATGGAAACAACCCAGATATCCATTGATGGATAAATGGATAAGCAAAATGTGATAGATACACACAAAGGAATACTATACAGCCTTGAAACGGAAAGAAATCCTGTCACATGTGAAAACATGGATGAATCTTGAGGACAGTATGCTAAATGAAGTAAACCAGTTGCAAAAAATCGAACACTGTATGATTCCACTTATATGAGGTATTTAAAGTAGTAAAATTCATGGAAAAAGAAAGTAGAGAGATGGCTCTCAGGGGCTGGGGGAGGGGAAAGGGGAGTTGTTATTTAATGGGCATAGAGGTTCAGTTGCAAGATGAAAACATTGTTGTTTCACAACAATGTAAATATGCTTAACCTTACTGAACT